CTGTCCCCTTCGCTGGACCACGATCCTCCTGAGCTCACGGGTCAGGCACCGACTCTGGGGCCCTGTGCGTAAGGCAGGGCCACTCACGAGCCACACCCGCGTCGGATTCTCTGCCGAGAGGGAACGACGCGGGCAGCCGCCTTGCCTTCGGAATGTCCAGGGAGATGCTTGGCCTCCTCCCTCCCGGGGCAGCTGGCCACCCAGGGACGACTGAGGAGAGGGAAACCCATGTTTACAAAACTCTTTTGTCAAAGGGCACTTTGCTGGGCGCAGCACGAAGACAGAGTGCAGACACGTGGCGCCTGAGCTCACGGAAGTGACTGTGGGAAGCTGGCAGGGCACCTTGGAGCTGGGCGGGGCCGAGGCCGTGGGACCGCCTGCCCGCAGCAGGGACCTGGGGTGCGCCTGCGAACGTGGTCTCCTCAGGGTGGGCGGCCCGGCCCACACAGGCCTGCGGAGGGATAAAAGTTGTAAACAAGAAGGCGTCCTCAGGCTTCCTGCCCTTCCCCAGACCCCAGCGGCAGCCCGATTACCCCTTCCGGCCACCTACCTCCTGTAAGGGGTCCCTTCCTTGCGGGGGGCGGGGCAGCTGGAGGCTGAGCGGGAGGGTGGCGGCAGAGCCACGGGTCCGAGCTGCAAGGTGGGCGGGAAAAGACGTCCCGGGATTGCCGTGGAATCTGGCAAACGAACTTCTTCACAGGGTTTGGGAGAGGCAAGTCCAGAACTTGAGTCATGTTGGAATTGACCTCAGATGCCTTGACCACAAGGCAGCCCGGAGACCGGGCCACGTGGGGCCAGATCCCCCGGGGGAGTGCTTCCTGGACCTGGCCCCGCTGAGCACGGCACATTCTTCGACCTCCGTTCCTGGGGGCAAACCTCTCCCACGTGGGGGGTGTCTTGGGTGGAAATGGCTCGAGGTGGCTGGAAGCCAAGTCTGGTTGGATGCTGGACAGTTGTGTGACTCAAGGAGCATAATGCCGTGGTGCCGACTTTGCTGCCGGGCTCGGTAAAATGGTGCTGAAGATATTTTTGAAGGAGGAAAGCTCTCATTCTGGTTTGCTTTGGCTTCCAGAGAGGAGGTCCTTGGGGAGGACCTCCAGCCTCCGCGGCCCTCGCTCTGTCCACCCGGCGCCTGCGGCTCTTTGTTGGGCCGTCACATGCTTCTGCCTCCCTGACACTGTCACCCCCGAGCCAGCGGCGCCCTGGCCCCCACCTCCTCTGATCAAGGTATAGAAAAGCCCCTTTCCATCCTAGAAACAGACATGCAACCTGTAAAACGGTGCTTCGATGCGGGGGCGGTGGAGCGCTGATTCTCCACGGTGTGGGGGGGCGGGTTTCTGCCTCCCGGGAGACACGCGGCAAACTGGCGACACTCTGGGTGTCCCAGCCGGGGTGGGGGGCGCCGCCGGCATCAGTGGGTGGAGCCTGGGGAGGCTGCTAAATATGCTACCACGCAGGGGACAGCCGCCCAAGCAAAGAGTGGTCCAGGCCCAGACGTCGGTGCTGCAAGGCCGAGACATCCTGGGGACAGAGACGCCCAAGGGAGCTTTTCACTTCCTTCTGTTGTTTCCTGCTTTTCCAAAATGAATTATTCTGGATTCCTGCCCCCCACCCCCACACCCCCTGGTCAAAACGAGTTTAAAGAAAGGAAAACCTCTTTTCCTTTTAGGTGATGCAAGCTTGGCATTTCAAAGAAACAAGTGATTATTAAGGTGCCAAGGGAAAAAAGGAAGTACAGAAACAGGGAAATCGACCAATTCAGAGAATCCGATTTGACAAACGCTTGCCAAGCAGCAGCCAAGGTCAGGGTGCTCAGGGTGCTTGGCTGGCCCCAGGCGAATGGATGATGTTCCCAGGCCAGAAGAGGCCCCGTGGGCTCTACAGAAGCTCACAGCCCGGGCAAAACTGCGGACGAGACAACCTGAAAAACAAACGTGAGGAAGAGGAGGGAGGGGTTTGGCCCAGCGGGGGTCTGGGAAGACGTCAGGAGGAATATGAGGCGCTGTGTTGGGTCTCAAAGACCAGGGAGGATTCTGATGCGATCTGAGGGCGGCTTGTCGGGTTCAGATCCCTCCCTGCTTCCCTGGCGCTTTAAAAACGGGGCGATCTTATGCCAATTGACTTCTCTCCGCTCCTGCTATAAATTGGGTGTCGTGATGAATGTGTATTGTCTGCGGAGCAGAGTCACCGCGGGTTCACCGAGGTCTGGGATGGGGTCAAGCGATTACTGAGGACGTGTTTGCAGGGCGAACCCCCACGGCGGGGGTTGAGTGGGCGCTGCGTGCTGCCGGCCCGCCCAGCAGCGCCTGGGGCCTGCCACCACCACCGCGGGTCCCGCCAGCCAGGTTGCTAGGAGAGAGGAGGAGACAGAGCCCTCTGGGCCGGGGGGGGGGGGGGGGGGACAGGGCCCTCCTGGGGGCGGGGACAGAGCAGCTGGATCTGTGCCTGGCGTTGTCGTGTGGCTGGATTGTGTGGCCCTCAGATCAGCCACAAGGGCAACCCCTGGGGCCTTTTTGAAAATGCAGATGCTCACAGCCCTGCCCAGAACCCCTGAGGCAGAACCTGCATCTTGACAAGATTCCCCAGGTGATGTGTGTGTACGAACATCTGGGAGGCAGGGAGCTGGAACCTGGGGGAGGGACGCAGTGTGTGCGGCTGCAGGGGGGGCGCGGGGGGGGTGTCGGGCTTGCGCTGTCAAGAGCGAGAAGTGACAGGTGGGTAGGTATATAGGTAGACAGATAAAATTTTATTTTATTTTTTAAAGATTTTATTTATTTGCTTTTAGGCAGAGAGGAAGGGAGGGAGAAAGGCAGGGAGAGAAACATCACTGTGGGGTTGCCTCTCATGCGCCCCCTGCTGGGGACCTGGCCTGCGAGCCAGGCCTGTGCCCTGACTGGGAATCCACCAAGACCTTGGGCTCACAGGCCGGCTGGGGCAGACGGATTAAATTTTAATATGCACTTACACATGAACATACATGCATTCACGCTATCTTTGGCCAGTGGAGGGAGGTAGTAGAGAGCTTGAGTGGGGTGGTCCCGGCAGTCTTGGTCAGTGGGATGGTGTCTGGGCCGGATGCTTGGCCGGTAGAGAACTGGGGGGGGGGGGGCCCAGAGACTCCCCTGTGGTGGAGGGGTGGGGCCATGCAGAGGTGTGTGTGACCGGGAAGAAGGGGTGCCTGGGGGTGCGGCCTTCCTGGCTCTGAGTCTTCTCACACCTGCCTCCTCTGCCCCAGGCCCGGGCTCCCGCCCTCGGCCTCCCTCCCATCCCCTGGGCTCGGCTCGGGGCCTCTGCAGAGCTGTAATGGGAGCCCCCAACACGCAGTATGGAGGGCAGAGCCCACAGTCCGCCCAGCGGAGAGGGCCGTGCCCTCCCCGCCAGGCCTCTGCGCAGCGGGGCGTGGGGAGGAAGCCCACGGCTTCCTGGGCCTGTGACAGGAACTGTCACCTGGGCAGAAAGTCACTTGCAAAAACAGAACTCTGCCTCAGTGCTTCAGTCCCCCCAGACATCACCGTGGATAAAGGAAAGGTCAGGCGTGCGGCTTGGGAGATGGCCTGCGCGTCTGGCCGGTCTCGCCGTTGCTGCCTGGCCCCACCCCTCGCGGGGCCGGTGGTTTCATTCCCACCGGGCAGCGGTTCCGTGCTGGGCAGCGGAGGCACTGGCTTGGGTCCCCATAGGTCCTTTGAAGTGGTAGACTGTGAACACAGGTGGGTGAGGACTGACCGCCCTTAGCTGGGGGGATCCTCTAACTAAAAACCAGGGGGGCGTTTCGTCTCTTAGGCCCAAGCACTGCCCGTTAATGGGCTCACTGGAGACCCCTCAGTGGACCTCTCTTTCTGGAAGGACTGTCTCAACCCTGGATGAGGCGGGTCCTGTCCACGGCTTTGCGGAAGGCACGGTCATCGTCCCTGGGGTTGCCTCCATGGACAATGACCGCTGGCTGGGACTGGGCCAAAATTACCCTATTTTGCTGTATATAATGAGCACTCACATTTTTGGCCCAAACTTTCAGGAAAAAACATCTTTCGGTTTAATTTTTTTAATTCAGTTTTTTATTTACTTATATTTAGAAACAAAACCAATGATTGTATTCCAGGGTATTACTTTGCATATGGATGTCGTTATTGCTTTCTAGAGTTACACTTTTAACGCATAAGCGTAAATAAATTAAAAACATTTATCTAAATAGGGGATCGGTACTACTGATGTATAGGGCACATCCTTATTTTCCCCTAAAAAAATTGGGCAAAAGGTGCGCATTACACACGGCAGAATACGCAGCTGCTGCAGCGTGCTCCCTGACGCGCCCCCTGGTGGCCACGGAGCAATGTGTCGCCACCAGCCTCCTCCCTCATTTTCACGGTACAGGCTGGGCGGAGTCCCTGGACAGGGACCACCCAAACTCAGTCGGGATTTGCTCATTGTCTAATAGGGATGACAAATGACCGTCTGTGGAGCCCAGGGGCTAAGGGGTCCCTTCCTGGGAGGCCTGGCGGGCTCGGGGGGCAGCTGGGTGCTCCCAGGCTTCCTGGTGAGGCTGAGACTCCAGGGGTAGGTGGTGTGCACATGGGTTCCGTAAGCGTGCGTGGGAGCATGCGAGTGTGAGTGTGCCCGTAGGTGTGCGAATGTGAGTGTGGGTGTGAATGCGTGTGTACAGGTGGACTGAGAGTGTGCTGAATGCATGCGGCAGTGTATGAGCAAGTATGTGAGCATGCCAAGCATGTGCATGTGTGTGCATATGTAAGTGTGGTTTTGTGCCTGTGGCCGTGTGCGCTTGCGCATGCGCACTTGTGGGTGTGAGCATGGCAATGTGTGTATTGTGTGATTGTGAGCATGTGTGTTGTACGTGTGAGCGCGAGCACGCGTGGGTGCGGCTGGGTTGCTTCCCGGTTTCGTGTGTCCGGCGAACACCGTGCTTCTCAGATGTTCCCCGGCGGAGCCCCTGCTGACCTGACCCGCCTTCCCCGCCCCCCGTGTCCCTCCCTGCAGGGCACGGCGGACGATGGGCTCCCACGGACCTGGACTCGCGCTGGCGTGCGGCCTGCTGCTGGCCTTCGCCTGTGGTCCGGTGCTGGGCCGCCGGCCGCCTGACCAGCAGGACCAACAGGAGCTGCAGGGGACCCAGGAGCCTCAGGGGACCCAGGAGCCGCAGGGGACCCAGGAGCTGCTGCTGGACCACATGGAGAGGTGAGGCTGCCTGTGAGGCTGCAGGCGTGTGTGCAGGGGAGGCTCCCGGGGCTCCCCCTTGGCCGGGCTGAGTCGGGGCCCGGGCGCCCAGGGTGCCTCTGCCCCTCTAGATGCAAAGGAGCTGCATTGAGGCGGAGGAGCCCCCCTCGTGGGAGCTGGGCCCGGGGGGGCGACCAGCCGCGTCCCCTTTCACTGCCCCGGGCACCTTATCGGAAGAGCACAGCAGTGACGCAGCCTCCTTCTGACCCCAAGGGAATGTGGCTCTGGGAGGGGCTCTGCAGCCTCGTCCTTGACTAAAGGGCACAGCAACTGCCCCCTCAGGCCTTCAGCATCCCCAGGCTCACTCTGACCTTCGAGGAGGTCCGCCGCGGTTCCCAGAAACAGGAGCCGGGACGATGCCCAGGCCCTGAGCACTGGGTCCGGCTGCGGGCGGGGGAGGAGCACGGGCGCCCGCCAGGGGGAACGGCATTTCTGGGAAGGTTACGGGTCCCTTCCAAGGCATCGTCCCCAGATGCGTGACCGTCAGCAACGCAGACGTCAGGCTATTGCGCATATTTTGCAGGGATCCACAAAATGTTTGGGATTCTTCCTGAAAATGTCATTCATCAAATGCGAGGCCTTAGATGCCCCGGTGGCGGCGGAGGGCGGCTCCCCGTTCCTTCGTTGTGTCTGAGCGCCGGGCTGATGACGCCCAAGGCTTCGGACTGTCCTCAGAGTGCACAGTGGGACTGCACGGGACTCGGGGCGAAGTGGCATCGCCCCCTTTTCATTCAGCGGACACGGGCTCGGTGCCTGCGGAGCGACTGGCCGTCAGCTAGGCCCGACCCTGGCCTCCAGGGATGCTGAGGCTGCGGGGGGGCGGGCTTGGCCCAGCGCAGCCTTGGGGGGGCCCACGGTACTGGGGAGGAGGAAGTGGACAAGCGCCTGTGTCTTGAAGGACACACGGGGCAGTGTGGTGCGTTGCCACAAGGTGGCAGTGTGGGGCTGCCACCGTCCGACCTGCCCAGGAGACGGCTTCAAAGGTCAGCTTGTAAACTTAGAGTCTCCGGCTGCTGCAGCTCAAAGGGACCCCAAAGATGTAGCTGGATGCTCGCATTTACAGTGAGTCGGCTTCACAGAGCATCTTCTAGAATCCTGGACGCATGAAAGGGACAGCCAGTTGCAGCATCGTCACACGGTGTCTGAAGACCTCTGCCCCCAGGGGCCGATTTCACCCCTCAGCCTCTGTCTTGCAAAGCCTCCCGTTATTGCTGTTCGTGTGGTGACTGTTTCCACCACTACTTTAATGGCTATTAAGAGGGGGCAGGGGGCCCTTTCCCAGGCCCCGTGGAGGGTCCCGCACTCCCTGCGAGCTGGCGGGGCTCTGTGGGAGGCTCTCCCGGCAGGACAGAGGGGTTCCGGCCTTGGCAGCCTGAGGCCCTCACTGCGACGTCTTTATTCCCTCAGGGCGGAAGAGGAGCATGAAAAGTACAGCCCCCCACTGGGCGAGGAGCCCCCTGCTTCCCGGTGCTATCGCTGCTGTGACTCCGGTGCCCCTGTGTACCCCGCCGTCCCGGTGCCACAGATCAACATCACCATCCTGAAAGGTCAGGGCGCTGCGTGCGAACGTGGGGTCCTCCAGGGGGCTGGGCGTGCGTGCCCAGTGGGGCGGAGCGGCCCAGGACGGCTCCCTCCCCTGTGGTCCCGGGGGAGGAAGAGGCAATTCTGTTTCTGGGGCTTTGGCCGCTTTCCCAGAGGGGAGCGTGGACCTCGCCCCCCGGGGCCCCTCGGCGGGCCTCTGGGAGCGGTGCTTCGAGGCTCAGGGCTGCCCCGCTCCGCTGTCCGCGTGCCGGGGCCCTGTGCACAGCAGGCAGCCCCGCACGGCCCACGGAGTCGTGCTGGGGAGAGAGGGGACTGGGCCACGCCGGCCACGCGGCCCATTGGCGCAGAGTGAGCCCTGGCCTGCACGCAGCGCCTGGGGCCTTTGGACAACACCCTCCGTTCCCTTCTCTTTGCCAGGACTTCCCAGAGGGAAAAAAGGATGAAGGCTTCTGAGTGCAAACAGAACAATCGTTGTGGCCGCCACGATTGTTCTGCTTGCTTGATGCCACATGCTTTTCTGTCCCTTTTAGGTGAGAAGGGTGACCGGGGACTTCGGGGCCTGCAAGGGAAATACGGCAAAACGGGTGCGGCGGGCGCCCGGGGCCATGTGGGACCCAAAGGGCAGAAGGGTTCCATGGGGGCGCCTGGGGACCGGTGCAAGAACTACTACGCGGCCTTCTCGGTGGGCCGCAAGAAGCCCCTCCACAGCAACGACTACTACCAGACGGTGATCTTCGACACGGAGTTCGTGAACCTCTATGGCCACTTCAACATGTTCACCGGCAAGTTCTACTGCTACGTGCCCGGCATCTACTTTTTCAGCCTCAACGTGCACACCTGGAACCAGAAGGAGACGTACCTGCACATCATGAAGAACGCGGAGGAGGCGGTGATCCTGTATGCCCAGGTGAGCGACCGCAGCATCATGCAGAGCCAGAGCCTGATGCTGGCGCTGCAGGAGCAGGACGAGGTGTGGGTGCGCCTCTTCAAGGGCGAGCGCGAGAACGCCATCTTCAGCGACGAGTTCGACACCTACATCACCTTCAGCGGCTACCTGGTCAAGCACGCCGCGGAGCCCTAGCCGCCCGCCCGCCCGCCGGCCTCCCGCGGCGCCGCCAGAGGCTACCTCCTCTTCCGCCCCCGCTCCCGCCCCGCGCTGGACCCCTCGGTCCAGCACCAGGCCGACTCCACCAGCTCATCCCCCGGTCTGGGCTGCCCCGGTCCCCACGTCCCCAGCTTTGGCAATCGACACGAGGCCCTTCACGGGAATGGGAGGGACAGGCGGCTGGCGGGGCCCCAGGTCCTGCTGTCTCCGGAGAGGAAATCAAGGGGGTTGGGGACGGGCACCTGCGAGAATGGAGGGACCTCCAGCTCCCCTCTGTGGACACGTCCCTAAGGGACCCCTGCCCAGCACCCAGCGACGTGCGGGGTGTCCCAGCTTAAGTCATCCTTGCTCCTGTCACTCACAGGAACTATGCAACTTCCAAAAGCAGAGCCGTGCACGGTGACCACGGGGGAGGGGGTGCGCTGCTGCCTTCCCGCAGGCCCCGGGCCCCCGGGACGCTGTCCCCCCAGAAGCGGCAGGAGACCCCCGAGAGGGGGCCATGTCTGGCCTCCTTCTTTTAGGCCACGTGTGCACCCTCCTGTGGGAGAGCCGGACAGATGTCCACAGCCTGTGGACACCTCTGTGGCCTTGCCCCAGGGTTGAGGGGTCTTTCTGAGCCACAGCAGTGGGGGTGTCGGTCTGAGGAAGCAAGGGTCTGCTCCCCGAGGGACAGCCGGGCGCTGGGCCTTGGGCTCCGTGCTGGGGAAGCAGCCCGCTCGGGGGAGCCCACAGGCCCGGACAGCAGCGGGGGCCCGTGGGGGCCCGGAGCTGCGGCGGTTTCTGTGAGGAGCAAAGCCCAGCGCCACCGAGGCGGAGCCACACACCCCGGCATGGCCTCCGTGCCTGTCGCCCCGGCATCGGCTTCTGTCCCCCCTCCCAGGCACGCCCCCCACCCCCCATGGAAGGCGGCTGGCCTTAGATCCTACAGCAGCCATCACGGTCACAGGCCGTGTCCTCTGACCCCCGGCACGGGTCCCGGATTCCCATCTCACAGAGGGCTCTGCCCCTAGCCCCCGGCGCCCTCCCGCGGGCCTGTGACCCGCGGCCGAACCTCGACGCAGGAGAGAGCCGGGCGGGGCTGGAAGGTCCCCCTCTGCCTGCCTCAGGGCTTCCGCAGGGCTCAGTCCCGGACACCGGGAGCCGGCCCGTCCCAACCAGTGGGGCCAGAGCCCCTCTCCGAGGTGCTGTGGGACGCCCGGGCGGGCGGGCTGCTGCGGCTCTGGTGCTCTGGCCGGCGGCCGACTTTGGCCCAGCAGCCTTCCCGCCTCTCATGGCCACTCTCCCACCTGCCCGGCCTCTGAGCCCCTCCAGGAGGCTTGCCGCCCACCACCGGGTGGCCCTTGCTCTTGAACGATGCCTTGGCCCCCCCGGGCCTGGCCAGGGGGTCCGGGGCCCACATGTCCCTCCCTCCGAAGGACTTCTGCCGGTCAGATGTTTGGACCCGCGCCCCACGGCGCACCTGCTGCTGCTTCCTGCTCTCCTGACGCGCTCTCAGAAAACATTAAACTTGGAATCCTGTGTTTCAGCATCGACACCTCCTTTGGTCATTGAACCCGCCTGCCCCCACCCCTGAGCCCTACCTTCTGCCTGTGGGAGGCCTGGGGACATCGGAGCCCTGCGGGAACAGGCGGGGCCTGAACCACCTTTCTTTCTGGGGTGGTTTCATAGGCTCAGCCGGATGCGGCCCCAGGGGACGACCTGTGCTTGGTGGGGTCTTTGAAGGTCAGGTGGGAGGCGGACTTGGACAACTGCGTTGGTTTCCTGGAGCTGCTGTGACAAACCACCACGAGCCCGATGGCTTCGAACGAGGGAGACGCGTCCTCCCACCGTTCTGGAGGCCGAAAGCCCAAAATCCAGGCGTGGGCAGGGCTGCTCCCCACCCCAGCCCCCAGGTCTGCAGGGGAGGGTCCCCCTTCGCTCCTCCCAGGTTCGGGGGCCCCAGGCGCCCTGTGGTTTGCGGCTGCATTGCTCCGGTCTCTGCCTGGCTCCGTCTTCACATGGTTGTCTTCTCTGTGTCTCTCCGATCTTCCTCTCTCTCTCTAAGGACACCAGGCATTGGCTGTAGGGCCCACCCTAAGCCGGGATAATCTTCTCTGAAGATCCTTAAATGCACCGTATCTGCAAAGACCTTATTCCCAAATAAGGTCGCATTCATGGGCACAGGGGCTGGGACTTGGACGTATTTTTTTTGAAGGGGGACACAATTCGACCCACTTGCATCATCTGCAGGCTCAGGCACTGCCTACCCCCACCCCCGCAAGGCCCCGCTGGGCCTGAGTGGTGAAGGGCAGATGCTTCCTCTCCCCTTCGCTTGCCAGCGGGCTTCGCGGCCAGGGCCCTCCCCCGGCTGCCAGCGGGCGGTTCGGGAGCTGCCTGCTCCTCCTGGGACCAGCGGGCAGGCCGGCAGCCGGCGTCCTTCCGTTGCCTGGTCCTTGGGCTGGGGCCAGGCCGAGCGGAGCCGACACTGCAGGCCACTGTCTGCAGGGTGAAGGGTGGTCGGCCTCCACGGAGCCGAGCCCACCGGGCAGGGGCGTGCTCTCCCGCGGTGGGGAGCCGGCCGGGGTGGACGCCCCGCGGGTGTATGGAGAGAATGTGTCAGCTTCACCCGGGTGCCCGCCGCCAGCCCTTCTCCAGGGACGGTCCCACGGAGCGTATGGCCGCGTCCCACTGCAGACCATGCCAGCGTGGCAGTGGAGGCGGCGTTTGCTCTGGGCCACCCACGGCCCCTCTGGGTGTCCCTGGCTCCTTGAGCTCTCCCCGCGCCACCATCCGCCCCGTCCCGCCGGCATTCCCTCTCCGCTCACTTCCTCCCCAGGGACCCCCGTTCCTGCTTTGCGGTGGGTAGCCCGTGTGCCCGGTGCTGGGGACGTAAAAGTAAGTACAACAGGGTACTTGCTTCCAGAAGACTTTTCTGGAATTCTACCTGCAAGGCAACATGCGTGCCAAGCTCCTCAGGAGGACGGCATGCTCAGCACCGAGCTGTCCGCGCCCTCGGACCCCTCCTGGAGCACTGGCTTTCACAGGCTCCTTTCCCCTGTCCTGACCCCGCTGGCCAAGGATTGGCTGAGCATCCCTGGGAGGAGAGGCCCGATGCACTCAGTTGCCATACAAATATTAGTGTTTTAGCAGAAGGACTTAGAGACGGCCGATGACTCAGCCACAGGAAACAACTGCTCATGGTGGGGCTTCCGGGAGGCTCCGTGGCCTGGGGTGGGAGCGGCGGGGGGGCACCCCCGTCCGATGGGGTCACGGTGCCTGCGTGTCTCTGCTCGAGGGTCGTTTCCCGGGGGGTTCATGGGGGCGCACCCCGGCTCGATGGCGAGCCCCTTGTAGGAGGTCGTAGTAATTGGGACGACATGGGACCCTCCTGCCCAGACCAGGAAGAAACTGGAAAGCTACGGAAAACAGGAACTAAAACAAGATGCCTCCGCGTGGAGAAGAAAGGAGCTGGACCCCCCTCTCACACCGTGTAGCAAAACTAACCCACACCGGGTCGCCGGCCCCCACAGGGGAGCTGACACTGGGAAATGCTTGGGAAAAGGCCTGGGCGCAAACGGCCGTGACCCCGGGTTAGGCGAGAGTTTCCTGATACAACACCACGCGCACCAGCAACAGAAGGCAAAACAGATGAGCGGGACATAACCACGATGTCAGACTCCGCGCTGTCACGGACACCCTAAGAAACTGAAAAGGTAACCCAGGGCGGGAGAAGAAATCTGCAAACCAAGCATCTGATAAGGGGTTGTATCTAGGACGTGTAAAGAACGTTCGCTACTCAAAACTAAAGGGACGGCCAATTCAACATTGACAGTGGATCTCAAGAAACCTTTCTGCCAGGAGGAGACACAGATGACCAAGAAGCCCACGAAAAGGTGCTCGACCTCCTTCGCCACCAGGAAGATGCACGCGAACACCACCACGAGGTTCCGCTTCACAGCCAGCAGGACGGCCGGGATTCAGCTGACCAGGGCTGGCGGGGGCGCGGGGAGCCGGGGCTCTTGGACGCCGCGGGCTGGAAGGCGAGGTGGGGTGGCTGCTGTGGAAAACGGGCTGCGGCCTCCCCAAAATGTGCAATAGCTGTGGACGCCCCCACAATCCCACCCTCGGGCACAGACCCCCAAGAAATACAAATGCGCCCACACAAACACTCTCAGAGGAACACTCACACATCGTTCGCAATAAACAAAAAAGCGGAAATAGCCTCCTGTCCATCCGCGGATGGGTGGGTAAGCCAAATGCGGTCCCTCCGTAAACGGAATGGTAGTCAGTGGTTAAACACTGTGACGTGCCAGTTAAAAACAGTGACGTGCCGACACCTGCCGCACCTGGACAAACCTCGGGAACTTTTATGTTCCGTAAAAGGAGCCCATCATCAACGGCCCCATCGTGTTTGATTCCACTGAGGCGATGTGCCCAGAAGAGGCAGGCCCGTGGACACAGAAAGGGGTGAGAGGCCTCCAGGGCCCGGGGCGGGGGCGGGGGCGGGGGCGGGACAGTGCGGAGTGACCGCCGAGAGGTACCAGGTTCCTCTCTGGAGTGATGAAAATGTTCCACAACTGACTGCAGTGGCGGTTGTAACTGTGTGAAGAGACTAGAAACCGTTGCCGCGCACACTCTAAGTGGGTGAGTTGTATGGTATGTCAATTGTATCTCAGTGACGTCGTTATAAAACAACAAACAACAGGCAGCGCCCGGAGCAGCGCCCGCCCCGATCGGTCTCCTGCTTCAACAGCGTTTGGCCGGAGCAGACCCAGGACGCCCCTTCTTCCAGCCTCCGACCCCCGCCCGCCTCCTTTCCAGACGCCACTTTCAGAGCCACCCTGGCCGCCCGGCCTCTGAGACCAGCCAGCGCCGGCGTCGGACCTTAACTCCTGGCTGCTGAGCAACGTGAGCGCCGGGCGCGTCAGAACCACCGCGCCGGGGCCGCCCGCCGCCCGGCCAGCCTGCGCTGCGGGCCGCCCGCACCCACCTCTCTCCGGGTGACGCCGTGGCCCTGGCGGGCGGGGCCGCTTCTTCCCTGAGGGGGCCGAGGGGAGGCCCAGGGCGTCCAGCGGCTCTTGAAGATGCGATACCGGCGCCGTGGCGGCGCCTCGTCCGAGACGCACAGAGGCTGGCCCGTGACGCGTGGGTGACTCGCAGGACTCCAGGGACGCTGCCAGGGTCCTGGGGAAGAACCAGACCCAGGCCCTTGTGGGTCCACAGGCCGGGTTCCGCCCACACGGCCCCTCAGCTCCGCGACTTCCTGGAGAGCCGCGTCCTGGGTGGGCGGGGGAAATGCATCAGGAAGATGGGTGACACCTGGCTCCGCTCTGCAGGCTGCCGGGCCGCGGGGCCCGTGTCTCTTCGACAGGCTCCGCCTCAAGCACCACAGGAGCCTGTGGAGCCCAGAGGGCCCTCTGTGTCCCCCTGGTGTCTGGCTCCTGCCTGAGCCTCTCCCTGAACGATGAGGCCGCCTTTGACCAGCCTGGAGCCCCCAGGATCAAATGGAAACAGTAAAGTCTTTGTAGGAAAAACACAAACACAAACACAAACACCAGGCACACGGCTGCCTTGCCTTTCTCTGTTCAGGCTGGGAAGTCGGGGAGTTCCGGAAGCACAGCTGCTCGAGCCGGTCTCAGCATTCAGGGCCTGGCTTAGGACGGGGCCGGGGCCGTGAGGTGACCGGGTGTCAGGGTTGGTCCTTCCAAGAGCATGAGTGAACACCGCCTTGGAAGTGACGGATGGGTGTGGTCACTCACACGCGGGTGCGATGGAAGTTCTCCGGAGGAACACTGACCGAGGACAGTGTCTTTCTCGCCAAAGTCCCCACGCAGCTGGGCTGGGGCGTGGAGAGGCACAGTGACCTCTGCTGCCCCTGACTCAGCCCCGACCGGACAGGACCGATTGGAGCAGAACCCCTTCTCCTTATGTGGGCGGCCAGATGAGGACAAGGAGCTTCCGCTGCAGGCGTTTTCACAATTAGGACTGGAAGTCCACGTGCCCCGGACCATCTGGAGCCCTGCTGTGTAAGGACGGAGGCGGCGTTCTGACCGCTCAGTTGAGGTAGCCGTCAGGTTACCTGTCCATTCAGCGTGAGACCCGACAGACTAAAAATAGACAATACGCACGTGCTAAAGGCTCAGCATGGGGAGAAAAACCTCACAGTAGAGTTATCACAAAAAGGTAAAACAACCTCGCCTGCTGCCTTTGCAGAGAGAAAACGCAAGACCGCGAACGCAGCAGAGAACCCGACACAGGCTCAGCAACGAAGAGCCGAGCGGGGTCCCCAGACGCGGAAAACAAGGGAGCCGAAGAAGCCAGCGGGCGCGGATGCCCGCGCCCTGCGCGGAGCCGAAGAGCAGCTCAGCGAGTCAGACGGCGAATGAGAGGGCAGCATCCGGGAAGGAGCACGAAGAGACCGAGGGATGGAAACGGCGGAGGGCCACCCGCGCAGAGGCG